GAATCCACTTGATGGCAGTGGGTTTGGGTTGGTTTTGCCTTTTTGGACAGGACACTCAACTGCCAAGCTGTGCCCAGGCAGAGCCCAGTGCCTGCCCTGCCCTCCTGTCTCCTCTGGCTACCTCTCACCAGCCCGGGTCCTGGGCCACACCCAGCCCTCCAACTTCCTTCCCGGCAGGGCCCATCGGCCTCCCCTGTGCTGATTTCCCAGGTGTGGAAACATCAAGGCAAGGGACTGGGCATTAGTGGATGGCCAAGAGTGGCTGCTGGTTGGGTTTTCAGAGAACAGAGACCTTAGCAAGGGGGAGGGAGCTGGCCTGGGCAGTGGAGGGTTCCAGGAGACAGCTCAGTTTCTGGGTCACTGGTCTTGGGGAATTCCCCAATGTCCAGAGAGCTGCTTACCTGGTGAGTAACTGCCAGATGTCCACACAGGACGCCAGACTATGAGGGTACCTCCCGCCACCCCCTATCCATGGCCACGCTGCCCTCTCCCCTGCCTGCCCCGGGGGCCAGGAAAGAGACAGACAGGCAGGGGGCCAGCTCCCACCCCCACACCCCTCCTGGATCTCTACAGGGGGTGGCTGGTGATTCAAAGCCCCCTTGAGCTGAGCTGTGTCTCCTTCCTTCTCAGAAGGGGCCCGGGGGTGAATCAACTCCTGGGGGTGGCAGGCTGGGTCAGCTGCGGGTCTCAGCTCTGGCCTGGGGGTAGGGTGGTCAGTGCTCAAGTGGGGCACAGGCAGAGTGTACACATCCCCCAAAACAGCCCGTCTGAGCTTTCTGGGTGTCCCTGAAGCGGAAGGTTGTAAGGGTGTCTGTCTGTATGTCTCCGTCAACAAGAGGTGAGAGGTCCCCCTCTTGCCCAGTTTCACCCCTCAGCCCTAGGAGTGCTCCATGGAACAAGTCAAATCCTTCCTTTAAGCTGAAGTTTCCTCATCTGTAAAATGGGGACGAGAACCCCCTACTCCTCAGGAATGTCACGAGGATCCATGCTAATGTGTAGGGAGCTGGAGGGGGGTGCCCAGAACAATGCTGAGCCCTGAACCCTGAGCCCTCATAGCAGATGCAGGACATGTTGTTGTTGTTTGCCGTCGAGTCGGCCCCGACTCATAGCGAGCCCTCCTTGGTTTCCGAGGCAGTATCACTACGGAAGTGGGATTGCCCAACCTTCCTTCCGAGGAGTGGCTGGTGGGTTTGAACCGCCAGCCGTCTGGTTAGCAGGCAAGTGTCTTAGCCACTATGCTACCAGGACATACGCACTGTTATTCCCATTTCACCAATGAGGAAACTGAGGCCAGCAGGTGGTCACTTCCCCAAAGTCACCTAACTCTTACCTGGTAGATGTCAACCTCAAACGAGGCTCAGCCTGAGACTGACGTCCATGCCTCACGCTGTCAGATTACCCTGCCTTCTCGCCACGAGTAACTGAGTGCAGACAGCTTTTGGTAATTATAAAATGCATTTGAAATAACATCGATTCTAGGTGGAGCCCCAAGCCAGGAGTATCAAGAGTCAAAATGAGTTATCAGATCCCGTTTACCCCATGGAGGATTGAGGGATAAGACTTGTTGCTAACTGCACGGAGAGCAGGCAGAATGAGGCTGCCTTGAGCCAGGCATGGCTGTGGGAGGCCAGGGGGGCTTCCTGGAAGAAGAGGCCCCTCACTCTCCTCCTAGAAAGTCATTGGCCTGCAGGCCTAGAGGCCTGGGTTCTAGACCCTGTTCTGCTATTCACTCTGTGAGTCCTTGGACAAGTCCCTTCACCTGTCTGAGCCTCAGTGTCCCCACCTAAATGACAAAAGAGCTGTGACACGCTCGGAGAGATTTGTAGATGGTGAGTGAGGATCAGCACGTGCCGGGGAGGCGTGGATGAGAGAGGGCTCTCAGGGCTCAGCCTGGGTGCTGATCTCCTGGAGCGGGGACATGAGCCCCTGGGTGACACAGACTGGCTGCCCCCTCCCTAGGCTGAGGGGACCCCCCTCACCCCAAGGCAGGTCTAATCCCCGCCAGGCCCAAGCTGCAGCAGCTGGATAGGCTGGGGATGAAGTCACAGCTGGAAGGGGCTGGACCGGGGCTGCCACTCCAGGGTGGGGCCTGGGGTCACGACCCCAGAGCCAGCAGCCAAGAAGGGAGGATGCCTTCCGTGAGGGAGCGGGAGCGAGGCGGGGGTGGGGGGGGGTACACAGCAGCGAAGAGCAAAGGGAAGAAAACAAACTCCAAGAGACCAAAGCAGGCTTGGAGCACAGCCTGGGCGGCCGTTCCCATGGGCCGAAGCCACGTTGCAGGCCTTACGGACCCACAGCTCTAAGACCCTGCCTAGCCTTCCTCCGAGGCCCAACACAGGGGGCTCCAGGACATGACAGGACGGGGAGGCTGGGCCTGGGGCACCGAGGGGCCCAGAGCACTTGGGGAGCACGGACCAAGTCAGGTACCGTGAGGGGGGAGCAAGGCCCACCGTGGGGCTGGTCAGGGTTGGGTTAAGTGGCCCTAGCTCAGTGTCTCCTAGACTCTGCCTCCACTTCCTGTTTACTGTGGGGTGGGGCTGAGATGAAGTGGCGATTGGGGGTGGGCCAGTGGAGCTGGTGTGGGGTCTGGGAGCAGAGGGCAGAGCCAGGGCCTGTAGTCCACCAGGAAGAAGGGTGTGAGGAGAGACCAGGCAGGGAAATGGTGGGATGGGGTGAGGCCTCCCGGGGGTCCCAGCCTCTGGTGAGAGACTCAGGCCGGGGGGGAGAAGGGGGCTGATAGATGGGGCCACAGTGGGACCCTGACCCAATGGGCTTGGGAAGGAGAAGTGGGGTAAGACTGGAGGCTGACCTTAAGTTCCATGCTCTGAATGGTCACATGGTTGTGCAGAGAGGCTGGTGCGGAGGGTTGGGAAGTGGGGGGGCAACTGGGATGCCCTAGGGTGTGGGAATGTCTGAGCTAGGCTGGGGCTGGTGAGAGGTCAGACTCTGGGTTTGCTTCCTGGAGGAAGGCTCGCATCCCAGTGCAGGTGTGTGGGAGAGGCAGGTGCCAGGTGGGACTCCCATAGCCCCCTCCTCCCAGGGCAGGATAAGGTGGGGGCAGGGAGGAGGAAGGAAGAGGAGGGAGGGCCAGTGTGGGCTGGGCCAGGCTTCTCCCTGCTGGGAGGTGCCCGCTGGGACGGGCAGTTTTATCACCCTCCATGGAGGCCCTGCCATGGGGGGGAGTAGGAGATGGGCTGAGGCAGGGCATGTGTGGGGGAGTGTGGGGCAGCAGGAGGGTTCATTCTGGCACAACGTGGGAGACACGTGTGGCTGGTCGAGTCAGGGATGTGGCAAGAGGTGGGAGCTGGAGACATGCAGTATGGGGGGGGGCGCAGGAGGGGGCTGGGGCCAGGGAAGGGATTTCCTTGACGGTCTGGTCGAGGTCAGGTGATAAGGAGGTGGTGGGATGGGATCCTTGGGGAATGAGCTATTTTCTGGGACAGGAGGTGCCCTTGGCAGCCTTTGGGAGAATTTGGCCCCAGACGTGTGTTGTCTGCCCGGCCCTCCCCCATACCTTTGATTATTACTGTTAGCATTTAACTGCCTTTAACTGGGAGGAGTTCCTCGAATGATGCAACTGATATTTGCACTTGGCTACTACTCTAACGGTTGACGGTTTGGCACTGTGAAGAAAGGCCTGGCAATCTGCGTCCATAAGATTACAGCCCAGAGACCCCTGTGGAGCTCGTCCTAGTCTTTAACATACGGGGTCACAATGAGTCGGCACTGAGTTGACAACAAAGGTTTTCTTTTGGTTTAATTGGGTAGAAGTCCATGTTCATTTCACCTGGTCCCTGTCATACATACCTTCTTGTCCCTTTGACTATTCGTCAAATCCGTCTGGCTGTGGTCTCACCAAAAAAACCAGACTCAGCCATGGACTCGATTCTGACTCAATAGCAACCCCCATTGGGTTTGCATGGCTGTCAATCTTTACTGAAGTAGATTGCCCCATCTTCCTTCTGCAGAGCGGCTGGTGGGTTTGAACCTGTGACCTTCTGGTTACCAAATGCCTTATCCACTAGAAGCACTTTCATCATGGGGCTACCATGATTCTCTGAGGTTGCCCCCAAAGGGCTTCTCAGGCATATCTGTTGGTAGGGTGGGGGGAAGCTGTCATTCCCTAGTTTTCCCCAGCAGCCCCTCAGCACCCTGAGTGGGGGAACTGGCTCTGCCTTGGCTAAGCCTCCCTGGCCTCTGCTTAGGCATCCCTTTCAGAATGTCTACAAAAGGGAGAGATGAGGTTGCAAAGAGCCCCAGAAACACAAAACCTTCCAAGAAGTCCTTCCCAGGCTGCCCCCAAAGAACTGAGTCACAGTAGTCCCTCCCCCAACTTCCTGTCCTCTCTAGTCTCACAGGTACCGGGTCAGTGGGATGGGTATGCTGATGGAGGTTGAAAGCCTGTGCCTTCAGGGTCCTGGGCTCCGGCTTTCTTTGGAGACCCACTCTGCTCTGTGGAAATGGGCCGGTTGGAGGAGGCCACCTCTGGGGTGGCTTCCAGTGCCCATGTTCAGTTCCGCTTTATTACTGTCTAAAGTCCACACCGGGCCCCAGCCCCTCTTCCTGGAACCTCCTTCTCAGCCCAGCCCAGCCCGCCTCCTCCCCACTGCCCCCCAAAGCCCCTGCCCAGGGGCCGCAGGTACCAGCTCCTCCACTTGCCCAGGTGAGTCAGGGCCATCTGGGGCGCCTGCTGCCATCCCCATGGGACCCTGCTGACTCAGCCAGGAGTTGGGGGGGCCTCTCCTCCCTCCCCATCTTCACACAACTCCGAGGGCAAGCCACTCAGGAAAACCACAGGGCGTTTGGTTGAAGATTTCATTATAATTTTATCAATCAAATTCTTAGAAGAGGGAAGGAGTCTGCCCTCCCCCTCCCCCCTCACTCTGCCCCCCCCTTCACTCTCACTTTCTCTCCCATTCATAATTTCCTATGATGCACCTCAAACAACTTCCTGGACGGGGATCCCGGCTAAATATAGCTGTTTTTCTGTCTTACAACATAGGCTCCGGTATATAAATGAGGCAAATTCCCCGTTTGAGCATGACCCTCTGAAAAGTGCCGTCTTCTAAGGTCTCCTGCAAAGCCCTCCGCAGACCAGTCCATAATGAAGCTCTTGGCCTCAGGTAAATCCACTTGCCAGCTCCGGCTTCCAGGCCCGCTGAACTCGGGCACTTGGCGCGAACTAGCGGAGCACCCACCCACCGCTGACACAAGGCACTTGGGGCGCCCGCCCAGCGCCGGGGAAGTAGCTGCTCCAGGCGGCCGCGGCCGGTGGAGGCGCTGGGTGGCGGCCGGGGCGGGCGCAGCACATGGTCCGGGCATCCAGCGCCCAGCCGGCAGGTTGGCCAGAGGGAGGAGGCCGCCACTGCCTTCCTCCCGCTCCTCCTCCTCCTCCTCCTTCTCCTCGCTGCCCTGCTCTCCGAGCTGCACGCTCTCTCTCCCTCTCTTTCTCTCTGCCTTCTGATTCACCCTCCCTCTTTCTTTCCGATTTCTCCTTTCCAACCGCGTCCCGGGCTGCTCCCTGGGAGGGGCGCAGGCCGCCCGAGCAGCTTGCAAACTCCGGCCTGGGACAGGAGCAGGTGCCGCCTCCATCTGCTAGCGGCTGGAAAGCGTGCGGTCTGTGCTAGGTGAGATGGGGTGTGGGGGCCTCCGGGCCACCGTGGGGCCTCGGCGCTGCCTGGGATGCTGGGACCAAGAGGGGACCCAAAGGAAGTGTGCGTGCGTCCTTGAGGTTGCCGCTGGCCCTCCAATTCAGCAGGGGGATCCAGGCGGCTGGCTCCTGCCTCGCTGGCCGGCTGCCCCCAGCCGCTGCTCCCCTCTCTTGCCAGCTGGAAAGGGGCCTGCGGGTGACGGGAGGGAGGGGCGACCCAGAACAGGCCCAGGCAGCTCCCAGCTTTTCAGTTACCTTTCACTTTCCTGCCTCCCCACCCACCCTGCCGCCTTCGCCTTCGACCTTTCCCCTTCTCTCTGTCCTGGTTCCACCGTTTCCTCTCCCTCCCTAAGGGCTGGGGATGTGGGACCCTTGGACTCCCCTGCCTTAACCCAGGGCCTGGGGCCAGGGGTGGTAGACAGGACAACAGGGAAGGGTATGAAGACATGGAAGTGAGGAGTTGAGCAGAGCTGGGAGACAGGGAGTTTTGAGTAATGACTTAAGGATGGATTAGGGGCAGAGTTGCAGAATCAGGATGGAATTGAGGGTCCTAGGTAGGGAAGTATGGAATCCTGGTTAAGCACTAGACTACTAGCCAAAAGGCTGGAGGTTCAGATCCAAGCAGAGGCACCTTGGAAGCCAGGCCTGGCAATCTGTTTCTGAAAGCTGACAGCCATTGGAGCCCCTACGGAGCACAGTTCTCTGTGCACTGCACGCATGGGTCTCCGTGAGTCAGAATTGACTCTAGGGCAACTAACAACAACAACATCAAAGGGAGGGAAGTTGGCCACATTCGGGGAAGGACAGAGATGCAGGAGATGGGACATCAGGGGATAGTTGGGCTGGGAAACCAGAATCAGGTGGCAGGTTTGGGAGGGAGAAGGGGATCAGTGGAGGATTCTCCTCTCATTGGTCCCCATGGGAACTCAGATGGGGAGATAGGCACCTCCCAACCTAGAAGGATGGGGGAGTGAGTGGTACTCTCAAGTCAGAGGGCCAGGAGGCCAGGGGGCTTTTGCCTTCTTGAGGGAAAGCATGGGATGGTCAGGTGTCACCTTAGATCCAGGTTCCAATTGGGAACAGCTTGCGTCCTGCAGGGAGATACAAGCAGGCGGACAGAAGCAGGGGCAGGGAGACAGAGGGGGGGGGACAGAGAAGGTGGCGATAGACAGCTGTAGATGGACGTCCAGTGTGACCTGAGACTTGAACTGCCATCCTCGCCGTCCTGATCATGATGACTTTCTGCCGGCTCCCAGGAATCCTGTCACTGCTGCTGGTTCTGCACTGGAAACATGGGGCAGGGAGCCCCCTTCCCATCACTCCTGACAAGGCCATCTGCACCACTCGTCACCCATGTCCCAGCAACCTCATGAACCAGATCAAGAACCAGCTGGTGCAGCTCAATGGTAGTTCCAACGCCCTCTTTATTCTCTATGTAAGTTAGCCCCTCCCACCCGTCCACCGGGGACCAAGGAAGGAGGGGGTGGGCCTGGGGTGGGCAGGAGTGGGCAGGATTCCTACAGATGTCAGTAGGGGGTGTACTGACCTGGGCTGAGGGAGCTGGCCAGGGAGGGGATCTCTTTTTGCAGCTGGAAGGAAAGAAGGGGGGCTGGTTAAACCACACCCAGATTTCCTCCTACCCTACCGCCAGCCCAGGCTGGAATCAACTTTCCCAGGGTTAGGTCTGAGCAGAGCTGGGGTGAGAATGTTACAGGGACTGCAGGTTTCGGGATTCCACAAAGGAGGGAAAAGGTGGGGAGGCGTTTAGAGAGATGACATTGAACGAGATGGTGGGATGGGAATTGAAAAATGAAACAAAACTTGTAGTTGTTGGATCCCTTGGACTCTCTGTGACCCCACGTGTGTCGGTGTAGACCTTTACTCTGTGGGGTTGGCAATAGCTGATTTTTTGCAAGTAGGTTGTCAGACCTACTTCTTCTGGAGCACCTCTAGGTGGACATTAACTGTTTGACCACCCAGAGGACCCTTATACTAATACCAAACCAAACCAAACTCACCACCATTGAGCCAATTCCAATTCATAGCAACCCCCCCACACACACACACACACACTGGGTTTCCAAGGCTGTAAATCTATATGGAAGCAGGCTGCCTCATCTTTCTTCCACATGGTGGCTGGTGGGTTCACCACTGACCTTTTGGTTAGCAACCCAATGCCTTAACCACTCTGCTACCAGAGCTCTTTTCTAATTTCAATAATAAGTAATGGGAACAGTCCTTGTATGGTAGAGACCTTGGTTCTTTACCAAGTGAACTTACACCCAGGTTACCATCTGGCTCTCATGATGATCCTGAGATGCCTACAGGGCAAGGAGTTGGATCCGCAAGGAGTGGGGAAACTGAGGCCCAAGAGCTATGGCAGTCTGGGTGGTGGCAGGGCTGGAACACTGATCCCTACCTCCTTGCTCATCTTGCATCTGCCTTCTGCTCCTCAGTACACGGCCCAGGGAGAGCCGTTCCCCAGCAACTTGGACAAGCTGTGTGGCCCCAATGTGACAGACTTCCCACCCTTCCACACTGATGGCACGGAGAAGGACAAGCTGGTGGAGCTGTACCGTGTCATCGCGTACCTTGGCGCCTCCCTGGGCAACATCACGCGGGACCAGAAGGTTCTCAACCCAGGCGCCCAGAACCTGCACAACAAGCTGAACTCCACCATGGACACCATGCGGGGGCTTCTCAGCAACGTGCACTGCCGCCTGTGCAACAAGTACCACGTGGGCCACGTGGACGTGTCCTATGGCCCCGACACCTCGGGCAAGGACGTCTTCCAGCAGAAGAAGCTGGGCTGTCAGCTTCTGGGGAAGTATAAGCAGGTCATTGCGGTGCTGGCCCAGGCCTTCTAGCAGGAGCTCTCGAAATGTTCTGTGAACCGAGGGATCTTGGGTGTGGGGGGCTCTCACAGTATGGCAGGAGGTCATTGTTGAACACAAGTGGAAATTACTGGCAGACCCTGAGGGGCTTCCTGCCAGTCCATTCCACTCCACTCCATGGTGGGCTGGGATGAAGCCACACAGGGTCAAAACTTCCACAGGCAGGGTGTCCCTGCTGTGCCAATTAGAAGGTGGCACCCCTTCCTCTGGAAGATAACAGCCAGGCACTGAGGCGTTGGGATGGTGATTGGCATGTGAGCTGGGCCTCTGCCTCCACCTGACTCCGGGGGTGGCTTCAGGCAGTGAGCAAACAAGTCGTCTTCAGGGGGTCTGACCACGAGGCAAGAGAGGAAGGCCAGGGTGATTGTCCAGCCCCAGCAGACTCCTTATGGAGACCTTGGAAGGTTTGGTCAGGATGCAAGGTGCTGGAATTCCAGAAGACTCCTTGCCGTTAGAAGTGTGGCGTGTGGAAGGGAGAGAAGGCAGGTCTGGCATGGGATGCTGCCTTCTCGTGAGAATGATTGGAGAGCTCAGGCTTAGGGTCTGTTGGGTGGAAGGTTCCAGAAGGAGATCACTGTCATTGAGGCTCTTGGCAACTTGGAGATCTGCCTTCAGGCCTGGAAAGGAGGATGCAGAAGCCTTCCCAGGTTCTCCTTCCTCTTCCCAACGGGGTTTCCTGCAGCCCGAGACGGCAAGGGTTTGGTGCTGGACCTGGAATGGGGTTAGTGGCGGTGGGTGGGCTAGGGACAGGTTAGGTTGCGTTGTCAAATGAAGAGGTTCTGAGACAGACCCAGAGTTCTCCTGAGCAAGGGCCTATAAGGGCAGAAATGGGGTGGTTCTAAGTGGCAGCTCACAGCTGATGCTACGGAGCCCTGGCGAGGTCACAGGAAGGTACTTGAGGGTACCAGAGGTGGTCTCTGTCCCTAGGCAAGGGGACAGCAGAATTTGAGGTCAGGGTCTCAGGGGAGCCTGGAGTCTGAGAGTACTGTGTGTCTGGCCCAGCATGGTTATCTATTTATTATAATATCCTATTTATATTAACTTATTGGTGCTTTAAGTGGCAAACTTAGTTTCCCTTCCTTGCTCCCTAGCCAATAGTAATAATAAGATGGCTCTCTACATGGGAGCCAGGGCCAGGCCTTAGCAGGACCTGGCCTGGACATCAAAGATGTTACAAGTGGGAGAATCCTTACGGGCGAAGCTCGGAGAAGGGCTGGCGTAGGGATGGAGGCACCTGGCTCCATCCCTACCACCCCAGATGTGACTCATTTGAAAGGACAGTCGGTCGGCTCAGGGCAGTTTGCGGAGTGGCTACCAGTTTGCCAGGGCAACCATGTTGCTTGACTCTGGGGCCCTTATTCACCCGAGGTTCTTCTGGCAGACCTCGGAGTTGTGCAGAGGTCTTGTTCCCACACTGCCTGTAAGCTAGCAGTTGAGGGTCCCCGGAGCTATCCTGAGCCCGCACCCTCCCCCAAAAGATGCTGCACGCACTGGGAAGCTCCTTGGACGTCCCAAACACCGCCGAGGACACGAGGGCCTGGCTGAGCAGATCTCAGGGAGCTGGAGCTGTGTGTGGGAGCCGCTGCCTCTTGCTCTGGAGAGGGTGGCATGAGACCTCCGGACTCAGAGCAGGAAGCTGTGGTCCCCTCCTGTCCCGCTTCCCTCACGGCCCCACCCGGGTCTGGGCTCAGAGGCAGGGAACCTGATCCTTTCCTTTGAGCTGTGGGTCAGGCAGGTCTAGAAACGCCCTGCAGTCTGGGAGCCCGGGCAGCTGCTGAGAGGAGTGTTTTGGCTTCTTCTCAAACCCTGAGCAGGCGGGCGGTGGTCCTAGCAGTTCAGTCGACTAGATTATGATTCTTTGCACACACTTCGCCTTTCTCTGTCGTTCTCTGTGCACTTTATCTAAGCCCACAGGCTGGCCGGCAGGCAGCAGGCAAGCCCTGAGACTGGGCCCGGGGCCAGGAGTTACCTGTCCTCATGGCAAGACTAGAATGTGGGGACTCACCTCTGAGCTCATGGGTCACAGTCACCTCTGTCCAGATCTCAGCCTGCTGCCCTTGGCATCTCTGTACTTTGGGAGTGGGCAGCTCGAGGCTGGCTGAACTACTCCAAGCTGAGCAACAAGAAAGCCAACATCATCTGAAGCCAGAATTGGTGACTCCAGAGCCCTGTGCCAGCTGAGTCTCCCATCTTCTCATCACCTTGTGGAAATACCTGTGCGGGACACACCTGGGCAGCCTACCTGCCCGACCTCTCTTACCCCTTGACTCTCCCCTTGCCCACACTCCCTTCGCTCCAGCCCCAATTCTGCCCCTTGCTCCCCATTGACAGTGCGCTTTCTAGAACCAGCTTGGCAGATCAGCATCCCCTGTGCACGGCATCCTCAGTCATGAGCCTTTGCAGAAGAAGCTGTTCTTCTCTATTTTCTTCTGTTGACTGACCTACTCCTGGCTTCCTGGGTCATGTGGCTGGACCAGAGATGCTTTTAAGGAGGAGAGGGCGTTCTTCCGCAGAGGAGAGGGTAGGACAGTCACTTTTCAATCTATCACGGAGAATTTAATTATTATTGTTATTTTTTTAACAAAAAGTTTGCTTGTCTCTCTTCCTCCTCCTCCTCTTCCTCCTTCCCTTCGGCTCCCGTGGCCTCTCCTGGTGCGACATCTCCGACAGGGGCAGTCCAGCCCTGCTTGCTGGCCCTCCACAATAGACATAGCAGGTGGGGTTGGAGCCCCGGAATTGAGAGACGTAGTCATTTCCCCTCAGATGGTTCAGAGATTCTGATCTCCTTGGTCCTGGGTTCATCCTATGCATTAGTGTTTTGTTGTTGATTGTTTAATTTAAAAAAAAAAAAAAAACAAACAAATCTCCAGGTTCTAATGTGAAACAAGAATAGAAAGTTATTGAGTTAGGGGAATGTTGTTGTCAGCGACTGCCAGTCGGCCCCCGACTCACGGCGGCCCCGTGACTTACAGAGTCCAACTGCTTCCCATGGTTTTCTTGGCTGCAATCTTTCACGGAAGCAGATGGCCAGAATCTCCCATGAAGCTGCTGGGCGGGTTCAAACCACCAACCTTTGGGTTAGCAGCACATTGCAGACTGTTTGTGCCACCCTTCAAATGGTACAGATGTTCTTACCCTAAAATAGTCTCCGATTCCCCCACTCCCACCCCGATTCCCACGCACACTGCTAGCTCAGTGGGATCCACTGTGTGGCCTCGTCCTTAGATGTCCCTCATCCTCCCTTTCCAGTGGAAAGGATTTCACTTTGGGTGACAAACTCCTGTTTGATGAATGTACCCTGTGGGAATGTTTCATACTGACAGATGATTTTTATTTATTCAATGTCCTATTTAAAATATTTATTTTTTATACTGAAGGAATACTTTTTTTTGGTTTTTTAAGAAAAAAGAGAAATTAATAAAGAATCTGTTTTTGATTCGCTCTTCCGAGTGTGTTGTTGTGGGAGACGGGGCTGGAGGGCTGTGACCATCTCTGCCTGGGCACGCAGGTGATGGGCTCTGCTGGGCAAGGGGCAGGAGATGGGGAGAGGAGGCCTCCACCGGGCCGGGGTACCGGCAGGGGCTGGGGTGGGGGTGGGCAGGGCGAACCAGCGAGCTGGGTGGTGTCCGGATCATGGGGTGCTGCTAAGGACAGGACAGTTGCTCGACAGTGGGGGGATTATCTGATGTCTTACACAGTCTGCTCCCACACCCCAAGCCCTCACTTAACTCTCGTACTAACCTCATGAGTCTCTTCCCCACTTAACAGAGGAGGAAACCCAGGTTCAGGGAGATGAAGCGATTTGCCCAGCGACAGCCCTTTAGCTCCAGATCTCATACCCGTTTCCTTACACGGAACTTCAGAGAGAACAGACCCACCACTGAGGATTCTTATGTTTAAGAATGGACTGCTGACCACCATTGCTGGCAGAGAGAACAGCCAAGCATGCAGTACAGAGAGGTTCAGGCCGCTGTTTAGACTCACGCAGGACCCTGGGGTCTTCCACTGGGCTCCTCCTCCCTCCTGCCTCACCCCACATGGACCCCCTTCCACTGCTACCTCTTCCCAGCCCGCTGGGACCCCTTTTCCTTGGGGGAATGAGCCAGGTTCGTTGGATGGCCACAGACGCAGGGACTCTGCATTGGCCTTAAATGTCTCCACCATGCTTGGTCTGCGGTTGGGTCTGGGAGTCCCCCCCGCCGTGATTCATCCATCTAATTCATTTTGGGGATCTGGGCAGCTTTTCTAAGAGTCATCTACCTGTTCATTCATGACGCTTGTTTAAGTGTCAGCCTCTGTGTACAGGTTCCTTAGATGACTAGGACACAGGCTGGGACTTCTAGAAGCTCACAGGTTACAGTGTGGGGGTGTAGGAACTGTACAATGAAGGACTAGACCAGAGACGTGTAGAATGTGGTCCAAGGACACACAGCGTCAGAGTAGGACTGCCCTTCTTCTTTCTAATAGCCTCAGAAACCCAGTGAAGGTCACTAACTCAATGGCAGTGAGTTTGGTTTTTGGTTTGAGTGCTCTAGAGGACTTGGTGACTCACATGGTTAGGCACTCGACCACAGCTGAAAGGTTGATGGTTGGAACCACCCAGTGACGCCTGGGAAGACAGGCCTGGAGATGTGCTTCTGAAAGGGTGCAGTTCCACTGTACACGTTGGGTCACCATGAGGTAGAATTGGCTTGAGGGCAAAACGTTTAGTGTCCTAGAAGATGGTTCTGGAGCAAGATTGATAGGGCGGTTAGCTGTTGCCACAACGATGCTGAGTAACAAACCACCCCAAACTTAGCATCTTAATGTCTTAAAGCACTAGACATCTATTTAGTGCTGGAGCCAGAGGTGTAGGCTGGGCTCAGCCCAGCAATTCTGGTCTTTCCTGAGCTCACATCTCGGGAGGAAGATGGTGGCTGTTGACTGCTGTATCTGTGTTTGGCTGGACTGATTGGGGCCTTGGACCTGGACTA